ACTACATAAAAGTTATACATTGATTTGCAACCCTTTTGGCGAGCACAGTGGTGAGACGTTTCTTGTACTCGGTTGCCAGGTTTGCACGTCTCAGGAAGCATTCAGGCACTTGTTTTCCTTTAGGTTTTTTGGCTGTTCGAAGCTTCAGCGTCTTGCACAGATTTTCTATAGGACTGAGGTCTGGAGACAGGCTCGGCCACTCCATGACCTCAATGTTTTTCTCCTTTAGTCACTCCGTTGTTGCCTTATTGGTATGTTTTGGATTATTGCCATGCTGGAAGGCTTGTTCTCAATCCATCTTCAGTGTTCTGGCAGAGGAAAGGAGGTTCTCTTCCAAAACTTTCTGGTACCTGGTCCCTTGATTGGCGCCTCAATGCAGTGAAGTCATCCTGTACCCTTAGCACAAAAACATGTTGCCACATCCGTGCTTGACTGTGGGGATGATATTCTTCAGGTCCTCCAAACACAGTGGGTTGAGTTGGTGCCATATAGCTTGGTTTTGGTTTCGAACCACAGAACTTTCTATGAATCATTTAAATGTTCACCGCCAAACTTAAGACAGGCATGTACAAATGCCTGCTTGAGCAGGGGGACCTTTCCGGCGCTGCAAGATTTCAATCTATTACAGCGTAGTGTGTTACCAGTTTTGTCCTTGATGACTGCTCAGCCCCTGTAGTTTTGAGCTGATCCCCCACCTTGCTCATGATGATCCTCACCCCATGAGGTAAGGTCGACTGAATGTCATCTTAAATGTCTTCAATAACTTCTGCATAACTGCACCAACAGCTGTCATCTTCTCACCAAACTTCATCCTGATGGTCTTATAGCTCATTCCAGCATTGTGCAGGTCTACAGTCTTGCTCCTGACATCCTTTGACAGCTCTTTGGTCTTTCTCCTGGTGGTGGAGAAGTTTGAATGGAACAGAATGGAATGAACATCTGTCCACAGACACCAGAAATCACATTAGTAAGTAAGTAAGTAAAGTTTATTTATATAGCACCTTTCACAGACATATGTCACAAAGTGCTTTACAAGGTAAAAACATAATAGAGTCATAAAATACATCATAAAAACCCTGGTCTAATTAAAAGCTTTTTGAAATAAAAATGTCTTTAGCTGCTTTTTGAAGGTCCCCACTGAGTCCAAACCCCGTAGAAATGGGGGAAGCATAACACTAAAAAACAAACAAAACCTCATAAATAAACTCACCTCTTTACGTCCATGCCGAATACAGCTGCACATTATCATATTTAAAAGTTAAAAATATTTTTAATGTAAACACTTGTGTAAAACGCTTACTTCTACTATAGTTTCTAGATGTTTTTTCAACAAGTAGATTTGACTAGAATTGTTAAAATATTTTCCTGTAATAATAATTCCCTTAACAGTTTAACTAAAGGAATGTTTGTTAACCAATCTAAAATTTACTGTGATGCTCTTATATTAGCACAAACATCAGCTATAATTATTTTACCATTTTTCTTTGCTAACTGCTTAATAGCTACAGTCAAGTTTTGGTCAGCATCATTTCAGTTAGCTGCTGAAATAAAAACAAAAACAAAAAACAATAACTTGTGCTTACCCTGCAGCAGAAATGCATTTTAATGTTTATACTGCCTGAAAATGGTGGAGAGACGATAATAACCTCACCTGAAATCCCAAGTGAATTCAACAGGACATAGAGAGAAAAATCTGATGAGTCACAAAAGTTGCTTCATGATAAACACGGACTGGATAATTTGGAAGGTTTGTTCAGACATCTATATTTGGCTGATGTGACAGCAGTGACTGACATGTGGCAGATGCATGGTCACCAGGAGGGGAGGGGCCCTGTGGGGTCATGACAGGTCAGCGGGTTAGAGGAATGCTGATAGGAATGCCCTGAGCGACAATCAGGGGTGCAACTCATCATGAGGAAACAACAAGAAAGATCAGCAGGTCCCCTGGGAGGCATGACAGTGGACAACAGGCCCAGTGTGTCTGCACACTCACAGTGATTCAGAGGAGAGGAGGGGGAAGCTGCGTTCACAAAAACTCATCTAAACAAGGAGATACAATGTGTGATACACAATAAATACAGATTATTACGCAGTGGGGGAAAAAGCGTGTGGAAAGACTTGGTTTTCAGCTTTAATTGATCATAAAATGTGCAAACACAATCTGCTAGAAAACACACACTCACTAGTTTTTCACCTATCTGGAGACAGATAAACAACTCAGGTTCTGGTGGAAAAACTGGTGAATATTTCTACCTTGCTTATAGCTGGAAATTAGACCTTTTTAAGTCACTCGTTGTCTTCACGGAACTGCTTCAGCTCAGCGTTATTCTCAGACTCTCGGAGGAGTCTGGATGCTTGTTTTATGCCTAAGCAGGATAGTGTGAAGACAGTCTGCAGGCAATCATGGATGGCCCGTCTACTTGCAGAGAGTGTTTGCTGTCAGAAGGGGGCAGTGTCAAAAGCATGATTCAACTAGTCTGTGGGTCACTCTTGGTTGTGCTGTTGCCGGTCAATCAGCCAACTACAGAGAAGAGTGAAGCTATAACCTACGAAGAACTGAAGTGAAAGGCCGGTCCTTATTCTATATCTCAGTAAATTTCATTTCTTTATTTATTATTAATTTATTCATCGTCTGATGTCAACCAAATAAAACATGGAGACACCTGTAAACTGAGACAGCAAAATCCTGATATTGCAGGAGGCTTTCTATAGGCCACTGTCACCTTACGCTCGGTCCCTGACCCTATAGCCACAAGCTGTGGGTAGTAAGTAAAACAGTGAGATTATAGATACATATGGCAGAAGTTAGCTTTTTCTGAAAGATGTCTGGGCTCTTCCTTAGAGATGAAGATGAAGCTTGGTCATTTGGAAGGGGCCTAGTAGTAGAGCTACTACTCATCCACATTGAAAGAACCAGCTGAGTTCCTTTCAATGTGGTATTTTAGGCATGTCTAACTGGGAGGAGGCCCTGAGAAAAACCAAGGAAACACTGAGAGATTATGTCTCTCAGCTGGCTTGCCTTCACATCTCCCAGAAACATGTGGGTAAGACAGGGTGATCTGGGCATTTCGGTTTAGATTACTGGGAAAATGGATGGATAGATTTAACCAGGTTTAATGAGAAGAATATCACATATTTTCCAACTCAAGCCCACAGAGGTCTGACATAAATCATAAATGACAGACTTTTAATGTGTCTCAAACACAGGCATTCTTTGAGTTCCTCACTTTTACAAGGAATTTGGCGATGTTTGTGTTGATCTGTGTGTCCTGGATAGTTGGCTGTCTGGTTAGTCGCTGCAGCTGCTTGCAGAAAAAGACCAGTTCTCTGCACGAGCAGTCGGGCCTTCCTTCACAGCTGCAGGGTTTCGGTACAACGACCAAGGACTCCACCACAGCAAAGCAACTGCTCGTTTCTATTACTGAATTGTTTCTTTTTAATGTGGCACTGCACTCCAAACTAGTAACCAGCATGTTCTTATAAACACAACACTTATATTCGTTTACACCACCACAAAACAAAGCAAAACCTCATCGTTTCGATATTTTAAAAAAGAGGAAACAAATGAAAAACACTGTCAGGTTGTCTTTTGTAGTTTTATCATCAGATGAAGCAGAGCTAGTTGCTCCTTGGTGCTATAACATAAAAGAGAAAGAGATATAAGCAGGTGTATTTAGGTAGGTGTAAGTTTAGCATGTTTCTTAAACAGTCAAGGTCAAGAGTAGGGCTGCAATGATTCATCGCAGAACTCGAGTAACCTGATTACAACATCCTCTAGGCAAATTCTTTTCTTTGATGTTTGGTTTAATCCATTTAAGTCGAGCGAAGTTTGCGACTAAAAATAGACTTGCAATAAAAAGGTATTTAGGGGTGCACGTCAATTAAAAGTATTTGAACATGCCCATGCCACTCCCACTTTTCTCCACAAAGAGCCTTGTAGAGGCTAAACCTACTCTGAAGCCACTGAGGTGTTCGATGGGCGGGGTCGACGCGATGCTACTGTTATGAGCAAAACCTGTGGTAATGAGAAAGTCCAATAACTCCTGCTCATCATCGGTTCCATTTGTTGCTCCACCGTTCATCTTAGTATGCAACGTGTTTGCAATTAAACACGTAACGGTAATTAAATATACCTTAATAACCTTAAATACAACTAACCACTCTTACTAGATTTTATCATGTCGTCTCAACAAGAACAAATTAAGTTGCTGAATTTCTTTTTTTTGAGTGCAGACACACGCTTACTCATTCACAAGTGCATTTAGACACATAGAAATACACAAATACACATACACGTGTTAATGGAATAATCAACGGATATAAAATAATCAACAGCTGCAGTCCAAGTCAAGCATTAAAGCTAGGAGCAATCTTGAGATTTTAGTTGCCTGAATCTGCCTGTTACCCCCTGTAGAGTTGTCAGTCCAAGAGTATCAGTACCCCAGCACAAGGAACCTCTCCGAACACTTACTCGTGTGATGCACATTTCTAAATTGTGTTTATTTTGTTCTCACAATGGCTGGATAGCTGGTGGAAATCTGGTGAAAGACTTCTAGCTGACTGGTTCTTGTTTAAACAGTTTTTGTGTGGTTGGGTTCCGTGCTTTGGCTTTGACCTGTTGAAGGAGAAAAATGGTTTAAACTCAAGCAGCACCCACAGGGCCGGCCATAGTGTTGTTAAATGAAGTGTAACCTGTAGAAATCTCCCACTTTAATAACACCACAATCGTATTTGCTTTGAAAAGTTACACTGAGAAATCCTCCAGCATCTTCAATTGTGTCACACAAAAGTTGTTCTAGAAACAAAAAGCTCAAACCTGTGCCCAACATTATCTTTACTTTTATTGGTATCAGATGATGTAATCGGTCTATTGACCTCAGCCAAAATTAATATGAAGCCACGTGAAGTATTCCTCATAGGAAGCTCTTTTGTCAATTGTTAGATAATGCTGGGATAATGATGGTGATTAAAAAAACAAACTGGTCCATAAAGCATGGGTGCTGCTGGTATTAAAGCCAAATGAGAGCAAAGAAGCACAAAGATGTTCTGAAACGCATGCACATTTTCAAAAGTTTCCACTTTTTAATCAAAGCTGATATATGCAAAACAAATGCAAAATTGAAGGACCTTCACTGGGGGTGTCTAATTTACACACAAAATATGGAACTGGTACTCTTTAACAGCAAGATGTAAAGCATTGCACAAAATAAAAAAGTTATGATAAAATACTAATGTAAATCACTTTATTCCGCTGGTGCAATAATAACCTAATCAATGCAGTACACAAGTTGTGCTTGTTGCATGTTTCAGTACTGCCCACAGTGGGTTTATGATGATACATCAGTTGGAAATCAGTTGTTGGAACATGGAAAACATATTTACTTATTTTTTACTTGATTTCCTTGATTTAATCAGGGGTTGACTTTAATGTGTCTCAAACACAGGCATTCTCATGACATATAACTGACCCACGTGTTCAATCATGAAGCATTTGGAAACAATGTCCTGGCATGTTATTGCACACAGTTCATTTGAGTTCCTCACTTTTACAAGGAATTTGGCGATGTTTGTGTTGATCTGTGTGTCCTGGATAGTTGGCTGTCTGGTTAGTCGCTGCAGCTGCTTGCAGAAAAAGACCAGTTCTCTGCACGAGCAGTCGGGCCTTCCTTCACAGCTGCAGGGTTTCGGTACAACGACCAAGGACTCCACCACAGCAAAGCAACTGCTCGTTTCTATTACTGAATTGTTTCTTTTTAATGTGGCACTGCACTCCAAACTAGTAACCAGCATGTTCTTATAAACACAACGCTTATATTCAGTTACACTGTCACGATGTGGCTGGCACCACGAAAGTGTTTCATTCTTCTGCAACGCTGCAATTTCTCTTGGTGTCAAAACTCTCTGAGAGCCACTTCCCAGAGTCACTAACTCTTCTCCAATGTAATTTAATGACTTTGTAAAAGGATCACAACTTGTCATGGAACAGAAGAAGTCTTTGATTTCTGTGCTGGCGTCCTGAAGGGTAGCACTTCCTTGTCTTATTATTTTCTCATATGAAAAGAAATTCTTGAAAATCTGTAATGAAATTGACTGCGTACCAGAGTACATCTGCAACAGTCTGCTGTTCATGTCTTGAAAAACAAAGACTGAATTGGCCCACAAAAGCCCCCAGTTCCGGACACCTTCTGTAAGATGCGTCAACACATGGCAGTCGTACGAACAATGCTCGAGTCCATAGAGAGACGGTATCTGTGCTACAAACTGAACCAGACACAACTCTGCACAGTTGAGCTCATCCTGAGTGGCAAAGTGGGAGAGGAGGACGTGAAGGGCACAAGGAAGAAGCATCCAGTGCTTGTAGTACACTGCTGGCAAAACATTCCTCAGTATTACAGGAGAATAGAGGAGAGCAAATGCTCTCCACTCACAAGCTGTCCAATGCATCCTCTCACTGAGGCTCCTGGGACTTTGGCTGATTTCATTTGGTGGCTGGATCTCACACAAGGCTCTGTCCAGGTCGTTTAAATGCTCATCTGTCAAATGGAAGTCCTTGCTGGCATAAAGCGGGTCGAACCACAGATTGACGAACTGACGGACAACGCCCAGACAAAAACAGTGCATGTAATCTGGAACAAAGCCTTTGATGATGTCAAATGACGGCAAAAGAAACAGGAGACTTGGACCTTTAACCCCCATTTGACTCTGGTCGTAACTATTCCCCATCACTAACTCAGCAAGTTGCACCGTTTCAGGCATGTGTCTCAGATCACAGCCGTCCATCTGTATCGGGTAAACTCTGGTAAAACCCCTGCCCTTTATAACCATCTCACCTTTGTGGTAGCAAAAACCACAACCAAATTCTTTGCTGAACGGCTCAAAGTTCTGCACCATTGCTCTTGCTATCGCATCACATGTGCATATTTTAACTGTTACCGTGGTGTGATGCTCCGAGCCGATCTCATCTTTCCAACAGAACCCTGCAGCAGACAGTTTCTGAAGCTCGTTAATGAACGGAGTCAAAAAACTCTGAACTTGTGGTTTTCCTTTGCCAAACCATAAAGTGTGCAACAGAACGTTTTTGCAGCGTTCCACATACGGTAGTTCATTGATGGTACACAGGATGGGCCAGATGGAGTATTTTGAGGAGCTGAACACGGGCGAGCCATCGCAGTTGAAGGTGAGTGTAATACTGCCGTCTTGTCTTTCACTCTTGTATTCGTTTCCAGTGTGGACATCAGAAAAGGAATCATCCCTCGTGAAATGCTTCCCAAGCTTTGAGTGGAGCGTGCAAGGAGGTTTCTTAGCTGAATTTCGAGCGGCATTACAAGGAAGTAGTAAGCCTTCAAGATCAGATATTTTCTGCTCAAGCTCTGCTGGCACACACTACACTCATTACCGGGATCCACACCAAGGTAGTTTGTACACCTGGGGCAATAAAAGTGAATCTCAGTCTTTCCATTGTAATCAGTCGAATGCTTTTTTAAAAAGCGAAGCGACTTTGGAACACATCCGGGTACCACCAAGTTTAGGAGGTGCAGGAGATCTCTGGCTGCTGCTTTTGACAAGCCGTGCTTCACAATGAACGCCAGGAGGAGCAGGAGGAGGGCTCCCATTGTGACTGAGGAACCAGCATATATCTTCTTCTCTCCACAGAAAAACTGCTCCTAGTAACACATGACAGGCCAGAAATATGCTTTAAAAGCTAAATGTAGTAGAAATGAACCAAAATGTCATCATTTCCATATGTAAAAAAATAACAAATGAAAAATACTAACTGTCGGATCTTCTTCTGTAGTTTCATCATCAGATGAAGCAGAGTTGGTCGCTCCTTGGTGCTACAACATAAAGAGAAGAGATACAAAATGTGTATTGAGGCAGATGATGTTTCTTAAACAGAGTAGACGAGGTGAAGGCTGGCAGAAATCTAGAGGATATAGGTGCCTGGAACCTTCTTATAGCTTCTGCACAATTATGAGTGGGAAATTTTATTGTAGAGACTATCTTACTATAATATAAAGCACCTGTAGGTGACTGTGGCTGTGATTTGGCACCATGTAAAAAAATTGAAATGAATTTAAATAAATTAGCTTTTGTGAGCAACACATTTTGCAAGCTGTAATCCTGCCTCTTTCTACTAGGCATAGGACATTTAAACGTGACGATCTATGGATGTTATTTAAGTGGCAGCCTTCAGTCTATGAAAAAAGAAGAAGAAAAAAACAGACTCAGTCTCCTCAGACTGCCATGTTAAAACTTCCTGTATGCATATACGCTACCATTTCATGGTCTGGATCTACCTCTTTGGTTTCTGCTTTCCCAGCTGACAGATGACTGGCCTACGAGTCAAAAAAAGATGGATGATGACCATCTCAATGGCATAATTTTAATATCCTTAAAATACTTTTCACTCAAGGCAGCTTCACGTACCGTAGGATCTTCATCTTCGTCAGAATCAGATGAGTAACAATCTGTGTCCCCATCATTGTAGACTGTGTTATCTCTCGCAATATGCTGTCATGGATTATAGCACAAAAACAGAATGAGGAACCTTTTTCATTTTAGAAGTATAAAAACTTCTAAACATATCAATAAACTACATATGCCGGATCCATGATTTAATCCCAATAATAATCCCATGTAATGTTTGACACCCCTACTTTACCATTACATGCTCTGAATCTCCTCTTCTGTCATCTGTAGGCCCAGCAGACACATGAGTGGCCTGAGATAAAGAAAATTATGATTTCTAAGCATGATATGATCACATTCAACGTTTATATATAATCACCATAGGATGTTTTGTATCTTCAGTATTAGATACTATTGTCTCCAAGTACTCCAACTAACTAATGGCCTCAATAAGAAATTTCATTCACCACCTTTTGACAACAGCTGTACTACAGTTAGGTCCATAAATACTTGGATAGAGATAACTTTTTTTTTCTAATTTTGGCTCTGTATATTACCACAATGAATTTTAAATGAAACAACTGAGACTTTCAGCTTTAATTCAATGGGTTGAACAAAATTATTACAAAAAAAAAATGTCAGGAACTAAAGCACTTTTTAACACAATCCCTTCATTTCCGGGGTTCGAAAGTAATTGTAATTAAATAACCTAAAATATAATGTTAATTTTTAACAGCGCCCAATCAATTTGACTGCATTCTAGCTGGATTTGAGCAGACAGTATGTCTCTGAACACCTCAAATTCAATTGGTTGCTTCTGTCCTGTGTCACATCATCAATAAACACTAGTGTCCCGTGCCACTGGCAGCCATGCATGCCCAAGCCATCACAATTACTCCGCCGTGCTTTACAGATGATGTGGTGTGCTTTGGATCATGAGCTGTTCCACACCTTCTCCATACTTTTTTCCTGCCATTATTCTGGTAGATGTTGATCTTGGTTTCATGTGCCCAAAAAATATTTTCCCAGAACTGTGCTGCCTTTTTTTGATGTTTTTTTTAGTTTTTTTGTTTAGCAAATTCCAGTCTAGCCTTTCTATTCTTGAGGCTTATGAGTGGCGCCTTTATTTACTTTCATGCAGTCTTGTCTTCATGGTAGACGTTGATATGGATACGCCTACCTCCTGGAGAGTGTTGTTTACTTGGTTGGCTGTTGTGAAGGAGTTTCTCGTCACCACGGAAATGATTCTGTGATCATCCACCACTGTTGTCTTCTGTAGCCATATAGGGTTTTTTTTGCGTTGCTGAGTTCATCAGTGCTTTCTTTCTTTCTTAAGATTACGACACTGTAGATTTTGCCACTCTGACTGTTTTAGCCATTGCTCGAATGGGTTGTTTCTGTTTTTGCAGCTTACAGATAGCTTGTTTCAACTGCATGGAGAGCTCCTTTGACCGCATGTTGTCTGCTCACAGAAAAATCTTCCAAATGCAAGCACACCCAAATAAACTCCAGCTTTTATCTGCTTAATTGACATTAATGACATAATGAAAGAATTGCCCACACCTGCATATGAAATAGCCTTTGAGTCAATTGTCAAATTACTTTTGGTTCTTTTAAAAAGAGGTGGGACATATTAGGAGCTGAAACTCCTAAACCCTTCATCCAATTTAAATGTGGATGCCCTCAAATGAAACCTGAGAGTCTACACATTATGTCCATGTTCATTATATAACTATAGATGGAATATGTTTCAGTAAACGGTAAAAAAACAAAAAAACAAACTTGTGTCAGTGTCCAAATATACATGGACCACTCTGTGTATTTCACATGTATCTAGAGTGGCCAGGGAGGATAAATAAGCTTCTTCAAAAACTTCAATGACTGCTCCTATAAAAAGATGAAAAATGCACTTGATTTAAATCTGGTTGCTTATTTTATTTTCTCCCTAGAAGTGTGACACTGGACAAAGAAGCTTGTTTGGTTTGTGCACAAAATTTAAATCAGGTAAGTTTACTCTCTTTTTGCACATTTTTACTCTATCCTTGTGGCCAATGTTATAGCCTCTCTGGATTTTAAGTAACTTTGGATTCTTCTCTTTCTAAACCTTAAAAATTCTCAAAACGATAATTTACCGTTTGATGGTCTGAATCTGTTCTATCATCTGGTGGCCCAGCAGACCCATGATGAGCCTAGAAGACAGGACTTTGTTATAAACATCTTCATATGATCATTTTAATATTGTGAAAGAAAAAGCATTTCATTTACTGTAAGGCTCACATATACGGGTGCTACTTCAGTATCAGATGAGCGGAAATATATAATCTCGACATGAATGTGACGTTACAAACTTTCTGATCATTAACTGTAAAATAACATTTAATTTTTTTTCTAAGGTTTAATAATTCTTATTATATAGTATCAGTATTAAGGTATTTTACCTTTTTATGGTTTGAATCTCCTCTTCTGTTACCTTTTGGCTCAGTAGAGCCATGGCCAGCCTGAGAGACACAAAAAGATAAATTAAGGAATCTACACATATTTGGTAATTTAAAGATGTGAAACATCAATTTGTAGCTGCCAGTGATTTTTAACAGGAGTATTATCATTGTTGTGGTTGACAAGCCTCATGCATCACTATTTGTGATCATGAATGTTTTCCTGTCCTCTATGTGGTCTGTCTTGTCCTCAGTGTTTTACTTTCAGTTATGCCTGTGCGTTTGTCTCTCTGCTTGTTCTATGTCCTAATTGTCTAGTTGTCTCTCC